TACTTCTTTGTCTGAGAAATGTCTGTTCATTTCAGATGCCCATTTTTGGATTGGGCCTTTAAATTTGGGAGGTCTGATTTTTTTAAGTTCTTTATATATTCTAGATAGTAGTCCTTTGTCTAAGGGACAGCTGGTGAAAATTTTTTCCCACATTGTGGGTTGTCTCTTCACACTGTTGGTGGTTTCTCTTGCTGTGCAGAAGGTTTTAATAAGAAGAGATCCCACTTATTGATTGTTTTTGCTAGTTCACAGCCAACTTAGGTTTTGTTCATAAAATCTTTTCCTACACCAGTGTCTTCAAGAGTTCTACCTTACCTCTGTTCCAGCCACTTTCATGTTTCTGTTTTAGTATTTAGATCTTTAATCCATTTCAATTTTATTTTAGTGCACGGTGAGAGATATAGGTGTAGTTTTAATCTTTGACAAGTTGAAACCCAATTATTCCAGCACCATTTATTAAAGAGAATATCTTTCCTCCAGTGAGGGTGTTTGGCTCCTTTGTCGAAGATGAGGTAGCTGAGTGTGTCTAGAGTTGTTTCTGCATCTTCTAATCTGTTCCACTGGTCCTCAGGTCCGTTTCTTTGCCAGTACCATGCTGTTTTTATCACAGTGGCTTTGTCGTATAGTTTCAAGTTGGGGATTGTGATACCTCCTGCCATGTCTCTGTTGCTTAGAATTTCCTTTGCTATTCTAGGTCTCTTCTTGTTCCAAATGAATTTTTGGATTGTTTTCTCAAGGTCCATGAAATATGGTGCTTGAATTTCAGTTGGGATTGCATTGAATGTATATAGCATAAACTTTTTACTCTTTTTTTTCCCCAGTCTTGTTTTATTTATGTATGTATGTATGTATGTATGTATGTATGTATGTATTTATTTGCTTAAATTCTTTTATTGGTAAATTTTAAGTATACAGTATGTTTACATTTATCTTTGGGTACTTGTACCTGTACATGATTTATCTTGGTTCTTATTTTTTCCCCATTCCCTGTGCTCCCTTCACCCCCTCCACCCTTCAGTATTTACAAAGACTTTGTTTCCTATTTTCCTTTTCTTATAATTTTTCCTTTCCCTTCTTCCCTTTAAACTTTTTACTCTTAATGTATCCTTCATATACTCTTTGGTTTGGTTCAGCCTATGGACCTGTCTTTACCTAGTGTTAGTGTATGCTCTCTCCCCCATTGGCATCAAATTTAGCCATAGCACTTATTTTAACCAGAACAAAAGTCAGAGACATGTGCTGTGTCTTTGCAACCATTTTAAAGGAGTAATTGGTTAGTTTGCCTTTCCTTTTCACCCTCTGCTATGGAAATAGCATATTCCCTACCTAGTCTGGTGCTCCAGGATTTTTTTGTTATTGGTAGTATGTTTGCAGTACATGTTTGCATTTCTTTTCTGGAGTTGGTACATGTACATAACACATCTGAATTCCTTTTGTCTTCCCCTTTCCCTCCTCTCCCTCATGCCTCTGAATCTCTTGATCTCCTTCTCATTTGAGAAAGGTCTACCTCCCCGATTCCTGTTATCTATGTTTTATTTCATTCTTTATTTATAATTTTTGTTTCTCATAAAAGAGAAATCATGTGATAGTTAATCTTGTGGGTCTGATTTATTTCACTTAAAATTGTGGTCTCAAGGCTGGTGCTTCAGTTTGAGTTTTAAAATGGGAGAAAGCCATACATAACGTGGACAAGCAAGGAAATTTTTTTGTAATCCATCAGGACGTTTTTTAAATTGTTCCAAACAGTCCTCATTTATCTGTGGCTCACTCAATCCACTGGCATCATGGTAACCAAAAGATCATTGGATTTATCTTGCAGCAATACAGTATTTTTTAAAGAACACAACTTGTATGTTGAGGTGGGAAGAAGCAGTATTGATTCTCAGTAACTTCTCTTTCACCTCTTCTCAGATTTTTCCATTTGAACTATATGTAGGGAAACTTCTCAAGTTTGATTTAATAGAACAAATTTATTTGTTTAGTTTTTTTTTTTTTTTTTTGACAGGATTTCACTATGCTGTTTAGGCTGACCTTAAACTCACTATGTAGTCCCGACTGGCTTTGAACTCATGGTGATCCACCTGTCTCATCCTCTGAGTGCTAGGATTACACATGTGCACCACCACGCCTGGTTTAAAACTGTTCTTTATGTTATCCTTCTTATTTAATTCATTCAATAGTTGTTTTCAGATATCTGAGAAAACAGAGCCTATGTGAAGGACTTTAAGTACTTATTAGGAGTGTGATTTCCTCTGAAAATTGAATAAGGGAGCAAGAAAGGAAAGAAGGATAAAAAGTAATTCAAAGTAAGGCATTATCATGGGTCTCTGCTTCATGAAGGGTTATGAAGACATAGTAGGCATACTGAATTAGCCTCCCAGGTCGATTCTGCATAGAAAAATCATGCTGGTGGCAGTCATTCGGATGGAAGAAGATATGTAATTTATCTGGCTTTTTTCTACTCTGTGTTTTGGCTTCCACTAGTCAAAGTTCATTGTTTATACCGAGCTGTGTGTTGTAGCATTTAATTCCAGGTTGGAACTAGACAAGGAAACAACTATTGTAGGCATGCAGCTAGTTGGCTTCAAGTGATACATGAGATGTATAAATTTGCTAGGTTGAAGTAACAGTTCATAGGCTAAAGCAGAGGAAGGGACTGAGAGTTTATGAACCAGGTGAGGCTGTGTATGAAAAGATGCATGAAATATATCCAGTACAATAAGAAATTTTTAATAGGGGACAGGAACTGTCTTAGGTCCCCTATTTATAGCACTGAAGAAAAACTCCTTGACTTCACAGAGGGCAGATCTGGGCTTTCTATTGATTTTTCAGAGGGGTGTGATAGCTTCTTTTTCATACTTCTTGTAAGGCTTTTTTTTTTCAGTAGTTCCTACTCTGTGATATACTTCTCTGATTAAGCATAGTGAATATTTCCTTATTTGTTTTTAAATGAGGAGAGATCTAGACAAATTCAGTGTTTACTGGTGATCCAGATATGTGAGTTTTGTAAGACTTATTTGTTGCCTACTTTGATGCTAATCCAAATTCCATTTGTTATACTTGTTGTATTTATGGACACACCATTTCATCTATGTTTCACAGGGCAGTTTATGGAGAAAAATAAATATATGTAATAAAATAATGTAAGATTATGCTTTCATTCTACTTACTGAAAGTATGCCATGAAAATAGCATGAGATGGGAGATAAAAATATGCTCTTCCTTCAGTTGATTTTTAGTCCTCAAATACCTCATAATAGTATCAGCATCTTTCTACTCATGAATGTATTTCTATGACTAGAGATACATATGTTTTTGTAGTATGTGATCTTTAATATATTTGGCCCTCTTATTAAGAAATAACAAATATCTTTCAATATTGGAAGATAGATAAATTTATTGTTTTACATTGTATTTAAAGATAGTTTTAGCTTCATCATGTTCCCTTTCTAAATGCAATGTTTACTAAGGTCTCCTGCCTGACATACAGTGGTACCTTGGTTTATGAACTTAATTTTTTCCATGATTCTGGTGGCAGAATTTGTTCCACTATTATTCTTGCAACTGCATCAAATTTTGCCACCAGACTCGTGGAAAGAATTAAGTTTGTGAACCAAGGTACCACTGTATGTCTTGACTGTTCTCTGGTAGACATGCTGTTGCCTATATCCTTTGATAAGTTTTTCAGTTTTATGTGTGGAAAATGGCAATACTCAGCATACATTATCATGGCTCTCTTTTCCAATTGTAACACATTTCCTGGAGGCATTTTGCCATTATAAGTTCTTTTGTTTTCCCTCGCCTATATTAATACTGTTATTTTCTACAAGTTTCTGTTTTAGAATTGTTACAGAAAGATGATTTATGCACATGTATAGGTGTGAGGGTTATGGTTATAGTTGGAGAATATTGATGTCCTAAACCTTTAAAAAGCAGAGATTGTTTCTCTCGTATTAATTTTCAGCATTTTTGAGAACTTTACAAATATTTCTTTAGTTCCTTTTCCCTTTAAAATTGATTTTATGTAAATGTATCACCAATTTGAAACTATAGGTAAATAAAAATACTATAAAGTATATTTAAACAAAATACATCTTTTTAAGTATTTTTATCCTCAAACTGAGCACATAAAATACTTTTCAGTTTTGTATGATATGTACACAGGGTTAATTTATACAGGAATCTGAAAACCGCTATCTTATAGATGTGGTTCTCTTTGATCCTTAGTGCCACTGTTACTGTCAGGAGTACGTTTGTCCTCTTGCTTACCAGGTTTACCGTGGGTTACCTGCAAATACTAGTTTTCCCTTGTGTTGCTCTCCTTTGCTCTGTTTTGCCTTAACATCTTCACTTTGGATTAGAGGATTCAGAAAAACCCCAGCCTAGGCATCTGAGGTTACAAATTAGAATTAGCACTGATGCTTTAAAGGGCCTTTGGTTTGAAAACTTAATCTGCCTTTTGGGATTCTTTTTAATATATTTAAAGTTTTATATAATATAAAGTGAAGGACTGACCTACAAAACTGTCTGATAACTGTAGTTGGCATCAGTACTTACCAATTCTTGGAACTGACGTGTTAACTAAATTTCAGTAGGAAGGTTGTACCGTGACTATATATATATCTATATATATCTATATATCTATATCTATATCTATATCTCCAGGGTTTTTATTACTATTAAGTTATAAAAGAAAATTGATAAGTATTTGCCTTTGAAAGTCATAGTTCTGTCAATACTTTCTAGGTATATGTGATAAATATTAAATATTTTATATATTATTTATATTATTTCTCCGATTAATAAGTTTTCCTACAGTAAAATATAATGGATGAAAAATAGGAAGCCAATCTATAGCCTTAGATGAACACAATTATTTAACTGAGATGATCTTTATTCATACGAGTCTCTGTTTATTGCTTGCTTTGCACAGGAAAGAATTGCAGGAGCTGCAGAATCTTTACAAACAGAACAGCACTCACATAGCGCAGCAAGCAGAGCTGATCCGGCAGCTTCAGGTTCTCAATATGGACACACAGAAAGTTCTGAAAAATCAGGAAGATGTTCACACAGCTGAAAGTGTATCATATCAAAAAGTATGCATTTATTTTGTCATAGAATTATAGGTTTACATGTAAAAACTTAGGAAAATATGTAAAAATCAAATTTGTAGAATTTTAGCATTTCTTTAATTTCTTCCAAGTTAACAATGAAGTATTCTTCAATTTGGTAATATCTAATTTTTGTGAGTTTTCTTTATAATTATCTGAACTGAGTCATTTAAAATGTAGATATAAATCTATCTCATAGCTTAATCTTCTTAGAAACTGAAATTTTTATATGTGCTAAAAAGCATTCTTGGAGTATAACCCTAGAGCTAGAAAGGATTTGAGGAGTAGAACTAACTACTCAGCCTTTAATATGATAAAATATTTGATCAAGTATGATTCTAATTTAAGACCTCAAGCAAACTTTCATTATAAAAATTATACATTATTTTATTGACAAATCTCAACAAACACAAAAGGGGAATTCTAATGAGGTATTTAGGATCAATATTTTACAAGGATTTTTCTCTTTTTATTTTGGATGTTTCTTTTCAGTAGTCCTTTTACTTTAAGAGCCCCTCCAGAAGGCTTATCCAGCTGTTTAGTTATGCTAACTGAATCAGCAGAAATAATTATAGCTTGTGATTTAAAAAAATACCTTTATTAAGTTCTATATATATTTTGTGTACTATTCTAAGTCATTTACATAAATGAATTTTTTTATAAATAGACTATCCATATGAGAGCCACCTGATTCCCATTTAATAGTTAAGGCTGGTGTGTCTTAAAGAAGTTAACTAGTACAATAAATTTTGAATTTTTTCTTTTAATCCTCTCCTAAAACTGCATCATGTAAGTCTACATCTACAATTAAAACAAAACAAATAACTTTATTAAGTAAATTTTAAGCACATGTTTTTAGATAATGCTTTGGAACAGTGGTTTTCAATCTGTCTTCTGCATTCCCTTCATGTTCCCCAAAGGATACCAGTGATACCCAGCAGCAGGAGGGTACTCTATCCTCTCCACTTCAGAGTAGCTCCACTTTTTGTTTTGAGTTTCACATTAGCATGCTAAACCAGGCTCCACTGATAAAATGCTTCAAAAATTTGCACTTCATTAGTAATTTTAATTGTCCCCCCCATTTGTTGCTGTTGATGACTATCTCTTGAAATACTTTTTTTTTCCTTTCCTGGCTTCTAGTACACTGCAGTTGTATGATTTCTGTCAGTTTCGAGCTGTTCCTTGTTTCTTTGCAGTTCTTCCTAGTCCTTGTGCCTTATTAGTGTTAATATGTCCCATTCTCAGTCTTAGGATCTCTTCTCTTTTCTGTTTAGAGTCACAACCTAGGTGAGCCCATTCTGGACAACTTAGCGACGTAAGGAGATCCTGTCTTAAAATAAAAAATTTTAAAATGTGTGCGGATGTAGGTCAGTGTGGACACTATAGGTTTAGTCGTACCACAGAAAATAGGAGTGGGGTTCTCCTTGATAAAGTAATAATGGTGATGTAGCTTAGTTTTGAACATATTGAGTGTGAGATGCCTACTGTACATTCAGGTAATATTGGTGATATTTATTCCAAAAATATAAGACATCAGTGAGACAGTATAAGTGATAGGAATTATTGTGCTTATGAATAGTATTGAGGCTGAAGAAAAGCAAAGAAAACAAACTGACATCTGGTACTTGACTTTTCCTATGTTTAATCTGTTTTTTTTTTTTAAATCCTCTTTTCCTCAAGATTGAATTCCATTTTCCTTTTATGTATTCTTCAGACATACTTTTGCAGGGAGGAGAGGAAATAATTCATTGATATTTCAATTGACTGTCATTCTGAAATTGTAATTTATATTGTACTAAATTAATTTTGAAGTTGGTTTAGATCCTTAGAGGTGGTCGTAAGGTTTTCATTAGTATCTTCAGCTTTTGAAAGTGGGTTTTTTTGACTATTTATTTATAAGTTTGCCTGCAATTAGTCAACATTACAATTGTTTTCTTTGGTAGTCTATGTATAAATAGATACTCTATCCCAGGGCAAATATTGTTAATATTTTGAGTATTTCCTTGAAGCATTTGAAACACATTTTAACATACCTTTGAGCACAGTAATAGTATCTTTCACTTCAACATTATATTAAACACAGGCATATAACTATTTTAGAAATAGTAATATGATTTGTTGAACCATTTTTAACATATTTTTCACTATTGTAAATAAAGCTGCAATAAACATCTCTTAGTTACTAGTTCAGACTTTTACTACTCATTAGTATGCATTGAACACACACACACAAACACACACTCACACTCTAAAAATCTGCTTACCTTATCTAGGGAAGAGAAGTTAATAACATCATACTAATGGTGTATAATTCACTCTTAGCTTGTAAATGTAGGTGAATCTTTTTAAAATTATTAAATAAGAGCACAGGGAATTGTGGAGTTTGAAGGGAACCTGCCTACCACATGGTCAATATATGCCGAATTATTGAATTTTGAGGAGTTGCATACTATACTACTTTGAATAATCCAGTTTAAAAATCTTAGATGCTTACTTGAATTGTAAGAGTATCTGAAAACCTTACAGGGATATTCCTATATTAATTTAAATATTATACTGATCCACTTATTTTTTAGTTTTTAACTGAGTGGGTAAATGATTTTGTAGGGTATAAAATTATGGAGAAGTTAAGATACACATGTGCTACAATTTGGATCTAAAGTATTCCCCAAAGTTTTATGTGATTAAGGCTCAGGTGCCAGCCAGTGGCTCTGTTGGGAGGTGGGGATCCTTTAGGAGGTAGGGGTCTAAAGAAGAAAGTTAGGTCATTAAGGGCACTCTTTTGAGGGAGATCTTGGGACCTCAGCCCCTTCCTGTCTCTTTTTGTTTTGTTTTGTTTTCTGACATTTATGAAGTAAAGTTTCTTTCCTCACACACTTCTGCCGTGACATATGCTTTATCACAGGTCCAAAGGAACAGAGTCAAATGACCAAGAACTGGAACTTCTGAAACTGAACCAAAATACTTATTTCATGCTTATATATTTCATAGTTGTATCAGTCAATCTTAATGAATTCCCAATGAAATATTCCTGTTTTAATTTTCAAATTAAATTGTTAGGCTGACACACCTTCTTGCTCCTTCGTGTTCTTTCTTAGCATAATACAAATTTTTTTCACATTTCTGCTCTCTTTAGAATGACTTTCTGTCTATTCCAATAAAATTGTTATGGCTCAGTTCAAGTTATTTCTTTCTCAAAAATCCCATTGAGATTAATATAACTAGTTTAAAATATTTTCATCTTTAGAAATTTGGTACTTTTTTTCTGTATTATACTGGGCAGTAATACATATTACCTTTGTGACATTCATTGGTTTTATATTGATATTTGGCTGTATCATTTAGTTTTCCTTGTGTCTATATCTTATTTTTCTCTTAGACTATTAAAATACTGTGAGAGGATGAGTACATTGTTATACATAGTTTCTCTCTGTGTGTGTGTGTGTGAGTGTACATACACATCACTAGCTTATTGATTATTAATGTAATCTGGATTTTTTGAAATAGCTTTACAATGAGTTACATATTTGCTTTGAAACCACAAAGTCAAGTGAAGCTATGCTCCGGCAAAGTGTTGCTAATCTTGAAGATCAGCTAATTCAAAGAGAACAAGAAAATGCAGAATTAAAGGAAAAACTTCGGAATTTGCAAGAAGCACCCTGTCCTTTACCTCAAGAAGATGAGTCAGACCACTCAGCCCAGGTGAGAGACATTTTCTAAAAATATTTCCTATCTCCTACAATTGACTTAAAATTTAATCAGATTTGCATATATTAAAATATAAATTGTGACTGTATTTTACTACTTTTTATACTCTTTGTAGACATGAATATTGTATACAATATGGATTCATACAGAAATACAAGTACAAATACAGAGTGTATCAAGCATAGTTGACCGTCTGTATCTGTAGGTTTTGCATTTGTAAATTCAACCAATTACAGATCAAATATATTTGAAAAAAATTGCATTTGTACTGAACATGTACAGATTGTTTTATGATTATTCCTTAAACAATACAACTTTTTATAGAACTCACATTTTATTAGGTACTATAAGTAGCTAAGAGATTATTTAAAATGTATAGAATGATATGAATAGAGTATCTACAAGTATTATGCTATTTTATGTAAGGGACTTGAGCATCTGCAGATGTTGGTATTTTGCAGAGTCCAGGAAAGAATCCTCTATGGGTGTTTAGGGATAATTGTATAGTAACTGTGATGAATTATTTGTTAATGAAGAGAAAATGAATAAATCATCGTACTTTTTTTTTTTTTTTTTGGTACCGGGGATTGAACTCGGGTTAACTGAAGGATGTAATGGAAAGAATATCCAACATTATATCTCATGAAGTACTTAACCGTAATGCTTGGTATGGTATACTTCCTGTTTGTCCTAATTCTACCTTAATATTTGAGTATGGTCAGGTCATTTGACCTTTCTATTTCCCATGGTAAATAAACTTGAATAAATTTCCTACCCTTTTTAGCTGAAGATTTCTCATACATAAAAATGTTGATATTAATAAAATCTATGTCATAGAATTTTGTGAAGATTGATGATATAGTAAAAATCAGGGCTGGGTCTTGGTATCTAGAAAATGTTCAGTAGTGCTTTTTACAATGTTTAAGGTAACTTTCAGGTTAAATATCTTTTTTAAATATTTGATTTCCATGAATTTATGTTTTTAACATCCTTTTAGCAGTCCTTGAGATTTTTACAATTTATTAATTTAATTCATAATTGGAATTAACCCACCCAGGTAATTGGGTGATTGTTAATTCTTCAGTAGTAATATTTGAACTGAGAACATTTTCTCTTGTGAAAAATTTTCACATTTAATATTAGATTAAATGTTAATAATGTTAGATAAAATGTTAATATTAAGTTAACAGTACCCTGATATTAAAACCAGAGAAAGACACAAAAAACAAAAATAAAAAAACTGCAGACCAGTATACTTGATGAACATAAATGTAAAAATTCTCACCAAAGTACTAACAAATTAAGTCCAGCTGTATTTTTTTTTAATCCCAGGATTTATCCTGGTATTGCAATGATGGTTCAGCATTAGCAAATCAGTAAATGTAGTACAGAGCATCACCAGAATGAAGGATGAAAAACCATATGATCCTTAATTGTTCATTCTGCTGATGATTGTCTCCATAGATGTAGAAAAAGCATCTGATAAAATTCAACATCCTTTCATTAAAAAAACCCTTAAAATTATCTACAGAAGAAATGTATCTCAACTCAGTAAAGGTTGTATAAAACAAACCTGTAGCCACCATCATATGAAGTGAGGATAAGCAGATATTGTTTCTGCTAAGATCAAGAACAAGACAAAGATAGTCACTTGTACCACTTGTGTTCAATATAGTACAATATTGCAAGTCTTGGCCAGAACAATGAGGTAAGAGAAAGAAATAAAGTGTATCCAAATAGAAAAGGAGGTCACATTGTACTGGTTTGCAGACAACATAATTTTTATGAGGAGAAGAACCTAAAGAATTCATGAAAAAAGCTATTACAACTGATAAAATAATTCACCAGGGTTGGAGGATACAAAATCAACGTATAAATGTAAACATTATGTACTGCAAACATGTACGAAACAAAAACAAAACAAAACAAAAAAGAGGATGAAGAGATGGGTGGATGGGGAGGAAAGAGTGGAAAGTAGATGACAAAAAGGAATTAAGATGTGTTATGCACATGTACCACCTTCTTACAAGGAATGTAAATATCAGGTACTACTCACATGTATTAATAAAAGAAAAAAGATTCAAAAATAAATGAGCAGCCTTTTAATAAACCAATGATAAAATTTGCTGAGAAATCACAAAACAATCCATTTGCTGTAGCTCTAGAAAGAATAAATTATATAGCTAAGAATAAATTTAATCAAAGAAGTGGATTACATTTATTATGAAAATTATAAACTGATGAAAAATATTAGTGGAAAAAGATTAGAGGTCAAGACACCCTGTGTTCATATATTGGAATAATTAATATTGTTTTAAATGCCCACGGTACCCAGAAGAATCTATAGATTAAATGCATTTCCTACCAAAATTCTAAAGACATTCTTCACAGGACTAGTAAAAACACTTCTGAAATTTGTATGGCATCACAAAAACCCCAAATAGCCTAAAGATCCTGAACAAAAAGAACAAAAGTGGGTTTCGGATGTAGCTCAGTGTTAGAGCCTTTGCCTAGATGTGGGAGGCTCTGGATTGGATTACTGCCCCAAAAAGGAGTGGTAGGTAGAGTGGAGGAGACAAAGCTAGAGGCAGTAAAATACCTGACTCAAAAACAGTACAAAGCTATAGCAACAAAATAGCATGATTCTGGCATGATCTTGGCATAAAAACAGATACACAGGTGATGGAACAGATTAGACAACCCAGAAGTGGACCTATAACTTTATAGTCAACTTATTTTGATAAAGGCAGGAAAACTTACATTAGAGGAAGAAAATTCTCTTCAATAAATGGTGCTAGGAAAACTGGATATTCATGGGCAAAGAAAAGAAACTGGACTGTTGTCTCTCACCATAAACAAAACTCGACTCATGTTGGATCAAAAATTTAAATGTAAGACTTGAAACTGAAAGTACTATAAGAAAATGTAGGGGAAAAGTATAGGGACATTGATCTTGGCAAACTTTTTTATATGACCCCAAAAGCACAGGAAACAAAATAAAAAATTGACAAATGGAATTACATCAGATTAAAAATCTACTATAGAGCAGTGGACACAACAGAGTGAATAGACAGTCTAAAGAATTTGAGAAAATATGTGCAAACTATTCATCTGAGAAGGAATTAATTTCCAGAATATATTAGGAACTCAAACAATTCACCAGCATTAAACCAAATAATATGTTTTAAAAATGCATGAATGATCTGAATAGACATTTCTCAAAAGAGGATATATAAATAACCAAGAAGTATATGAAAAAAATGCTCCACTCACTTATCAACAGGGAAATGCAAATGAAAACTACATTGGTATCATCTCACCTTAGAATTACTGTTGTAAAAACAAAAACAACTGACAAAAATACTAGAAAGAATGGAGATACAACTCTCTTAACCTGTTAGCGGGAATTTAGTACAACCATTATGGTAAATGGTATGGAGATTCTTCAGAAAATACCAGGAATTGAATACCATATGATTCAGTCTTTCTACTCTAGATATACATCTGAAATAAATGAAATCAATATGTTGAACAGACATACCGTTCACAGTGTGTTCATACAGAACACACTGTTGAAAAAACAGTGTTTATTGCAGCAGTACTCGCAATAGTTAAAATATACAATCAACTTAAGCATCCAATTATGAGTGAGTGGATAAACTATGGTATAAATACATAATGCAATATTATTCATCCAAGTAAAGAAAGATTGATACTACATGTTCTCATTTTAGTGTGGAAGCTAAAATAGTGATCTCAGAAAAGTAGAGGCTGGTTAACAGAGTCTGGAGAAGAGTTGGGGAGGAGGTTAGGGAAAGGATGGCTAACAGGTACAGGGATGTACTAGGAGAGAAGAATAACTTCTAGTGTTCCATGGTATAGTTGGATAACTGCCTTACAACAATAAACTGAATATTTCAAAAGAGATAACTTTAAATATTTCAACACAAAGAAATGATAAGTGTGTGAGGTGATAGGTATTTGAGTTTGTTAATCAGTTTTCTGTTGCTGTGTCAAAATACCTGAGAAGAATAGTTTAAAGGAGGAATGATTTATTGTGGTTTACAGTGTTGAGGGTTTCAGTTCATGGCAGGTGGCTCCATTGCTTTTGTTCCAAGGCAAGACATGGAAGTGTATTCTGTGGTAGAGAGGCCTGTCCACCTTATGGTAGCCAGGAGGTAAAAGAAAAGGAGAATAAATCAGGGTAAATGGCAAACACCTAGTGACCTTCCCCAAACTAGACCACAATTCCTGAAGCTTCCACCATTTCCCAATAGTGCTGCCAGCTGGGGATCAAATATTCAACACATGACCCTTTGGGGAGCATTCCAGGTTGAAACTACAACAGCCAGTCACCCTGATCTCATCATGATACATTATATACATATATTAAAATTTCATACTGTGCCCCTTAAATATGTGCAATTACTATGAGTCAATTAAAAAATTATTAAAAAGAGACTAAGTGGCAATGGACTATATGGTTGAGAGGAAGTAATGGGAAGATTTTAGTCTTCTATTATTTGATCCATAATAAATTTTCTTTTTCAAATGCTTGTAGTGGGACTTTGGATGCAAGATTTGTAGGAGATACATTTATAGGATAATGGATTAAAAACAAATTCTGCGGTCAGAATGCATGAATTTGGATTGTAAACTTAATCACACCCATGTAAATTTGGGCAAGTTACCTTGTTTCTCTAAGTCAACTCAGTTTTATCATTTATAAAATATGTATTCTAATAGTTGCTATCTAATTTGAGTTTTATGAAGATTACATAAGACAATTCTTGTGGTCATATAGAGAAATGTTGGGTCATAATATTAGTATATAGAGAAGACATTATGTTGTGTAAGTAAATTTGAGGTTTCTTTTTACTGTGTTGGTGATGATTTTCCCTATGTTTTTCTGATCTTAACTTATAATCTGAATTATTTGTGAGCTGCCAGTGTCCCATAGAAAAGGGCAGAGCTAATTGGTTCATATGGGACTA